CGGGCGGAGGGGGTGTCACCCCCGTCTCGGGGGCGCAGACACAGGTACTGCCACGCACGTGTCATGCACACACATGCACTGCTGTGCACACACACGTGTACCACCGTGCACACACATGCACACGCATACCCTGCCATGCACATGCCAGGCACACACATACACTGCCGTGCACATGTATGCACTGCCGTGCACACACAGGCACTGCCGTGCACACACATGTGCACTGCTGTGCACACACGTGTACCGCCATGCACACATATGCACATGCATGCCCTGCCATGCACACACGTGCACTGCTGTGCTCACGCATGCAGTGCCATGCACACGTGTGTGCATGCATGCACTGTCACACACACCCATGCGCTGCCATGCACACACCCTGCACTACTGTTCCCACCCTGCCGTGTGTCTTGCTGGGCAGAGCAAGACACCTCTGTTGCCCCACACAACAGGCTCACACTGGCCTGTGTGGTGCCTGCGCCCACAGTGCTGTGCACAGACATGTGTCATCATGTCCACATGTCCCTGCCCGAGTACTGCTCTGCACGCTGCTCCTGCCTCCCAGACAGACGTGCCACCTCCCACGCCTGTGGCTGCCCCAGGCTTTATGGGAAGGTCCCTGCTCATGCCCCAAAGCTGCCAGACACGTTCCTGGCCCTGCTTTTCCTGTCCCCTGCTCCAGCGCTTCAGACAGAGCAGCACCGACCTATGCAAATAAACAGAGAAAAGCAGAGGGGCTCCAGGCCTGGGAGCTGTGTCCTTCCCCTCCCAAGCCCAATCTCCCATCTCTGTCACGCCTGCAACAGCCAGAGCGGCCACAGAGCCCCGGCCTCTGCTTGTGCCGGCACCGAAGTAAGAGGCAAGGGGCATGGCCAAGCAGGGGCTGCCACGAAGGGGACAGGGACAGAAGTGATGGGGGGCTGGCCAGGGGCTCTGGCGCTGCATTGCTGGGGGACTTGGAACATGCCAAACATGCAGGCAAGTTTGGAAGCTGAAGAAAAGCCCCTTAGAATCATAGAATCATAGAATGCTTAGGGTTGGAAGGGACCTCTAGAGATCATCT